CCTTGAAGTAAGTAGCCCCACTAATGACAAAACTCTCCTAACAGATAAAGTCTATAGGAATTGTAAAATTGAAATAGCTGATGGGAATTACCCTGTAGACTTACTAACGTTTTTCCAATGTCCCCATATATGTAGTGGTAATAAGTTTGTATTTTAATTTATTTGTTTAATGTAATTCATGATTAAGTGGTAATCTTATTATTTATTTGGTGTTATTCAGGATGAAGATTCTGAAGTTCGTACTTCGTACCATTGATGAAGGGGTGGGATCGCATTCCATTACTTCTAATTCCATGAAGGTAAAATTTCTTCCCTGATTACATCATCTTCCAAATCCGCCATTCATTTATTTTAAAGACTTCATCTATAAATATTGTCTTCTCTTTTTTTTCTTTGAAGATTTTCGTTCACCATTTTATCTTGCATCTTCTTTGACTTCATTATCTTGCATCTACTCTCTCTACTCCATTTTGTACTCCATTCACCGAATTGCTTATCGTTTTCCTTCACCGAAGAAAGCTACATAAAATTATAATCTTTGACTTAAATATTCTGTTTCCTTTTTCTCTCTTTTCATTTTTTTTTCATATTATAATTCACCGATTTTTATGAGTAAAGCTACATTTCTTTTCGAGAAGTAACTCTGATATGCTTTCTTTCTCCGTCGAAATTTTTGTTTAATCTTTCAAACTTATTGTTCTTAAAGAAATCATTGTTCTTGATCTTTCATATATATATAGATGTAATACTTATTATGTAATTCTGTAATTTTGAGCAAACTATAGGTTGTGCAATCAGGACAACATTTTACTCATTTCACTAATTAAATATCTGAACAAATGGATATTACAATATACAGTAATGAGGAGAAAAGGAAATTAATATCTGAACAAATGGATATTACAATATACAGTAATGAGGAGAAAAGGAAATTAAACCATTTATAAATTGTCTTCACAGAATTATCGACACCCAAAATAAGGTGCTTCATATAGTGAAGAAAATGTGTATCTGGAAAAGCCCATAACTCTTCGAGGATCATGAGTTTCAAGTCAGCAAATTAAAACACCTACGATGATATATAAACGTAACATATAAGATGATATATGAATGTAACATATAATACTATAACACAAAGCTACTAACTATAAAATCACTCCAATTATCAAAGCAGAAAGTGTTGAAAATGAAGTAACAGTTCTCAAATGAAATGCATCAGCATCATTAGAATAAATCTCGGCTTCTAGAAAAGCTCCAACTGTGAAAATGGGTTTGGTACCCTAAAGTGCTTGAATACCCTAATATCATCAAGTTTCAAATCCACCTTCTTTTTTCTAGGCTTCAAGCTCGGATACATGACAGATTCTTTCACAGGCAAATGAGTTAAACCCAACAAATGTGCGATTTTGTGTGGCCCTCGGTTCCAAATCTATCGCCACCATCGATTTCGTGCTCACGAAATCCACCTTCCATGCCTCAGCCGCATTAAGATGAAACCTTCCACCCCCTTAAACCCCGTCAAATTTTTGAAAGCTTCTCCATCGCCGCAATCGCCATTATAAAACCTTATTTTTATATCCGCAAATCCGTAATCATCGGTTTTCGTGAATGCAACCAGGGTGATTGATTCCCAATGCCCAAATGCACGTTCAAATGCATCCCTTATGCTTGCCTTCTTATGCTTGCCTTATATTAAAATACCAAGTGAATATATAAGTTCCTTATATTCACTTGATATATCTTAATCGAACCCCGAATGGCAATATCAACCCACCAGTTGAGAGATCAGGGAAGTCGCAGGTTCCCTTATTGATACGGAACTCGAGCAATTGGACCAATCATGTTGTATCTGATTTTACTTAGTTGGTCCCTTGTACTGCTTCCTGTTCCCGGCGCCCTCTTTATGTCCTTTAGCTCTGTCGATATGGGAAACTTGTGCAAATGCATTGGTCAGTACCTTTATCAAAGGAATGGAAAGGTTCAGCTAACTTGTTTAACATGACATTGTAAGATCATGATATCATACTTACTATGTGAGATTTCCACTCCACTTTGCTATGTTCGCCAGCAACTCCTGCGGGATTTACATGGTCGCGGACATGCCTGGAAATTTCTCTGAACACGACAACATCAAAAGCAGCATATTTCAACTGTAGAAATTTTATTCAGCGTATGCCACGTAACACATAGTCAGCTGGAAAGGTTAGAAATATTTAGGCTAGTTAATACCTTTAAGACAGAATTCTTTTGCATAAATGACAAAATAATTCTTACACTTTAGCGCAATCATCTTGAAGAATATGAAGGTATGTTTCTCACTTTTTTTCTAATCACTTAAAATTTCAAAACAGAGATGCATTTAATAAAAGTTTCTTAAACATCCAATGAAGTGGTAACATACACTCAATCAGAGAACTCAAGTGTTGCAGCTTCTCTTTCCTTGCTCTTTGAGGACTATAAACAAACACGTAACATGATAACATCAATTTTAACTGCAATATTTGAAATTTATTACTGCCGCGCTCCATATGCAAATAGGGAGGTTAAACAAACAGCTTACCTTGTTTGGTGCCACCATTTTCCCAAATTGTCTAAACCATACATTGCAGACAACCTATTAAAATCACAAAACGGACAGAATTAAGAAAAATAAATTATCTTGATGAATTAGGTAGAAAAGTACATCACTTGAAGAAATTCTAACAATTTTTCTAGTCTAAAATAGTACAACTTGAATCCACTCTCATCTCTTGCACTAAAAAATAGAACCATGATCAGAATTTTAAACAGAACGATAACAAACTTTGCTATTAGTTAAATGAAAATTAAGCAGTGCGAAATCATCCCATTTGGTCCACATATATTTTCTCCGACTGGATCCTTTTCACAATTAATTTCATTGCAGCTCCTCAATCATAAAAACAAAATGGTCGAGATCATTACTTACCCCCTATTGTAGCCATCGGCTTATAGACTGGAGACATCAGATCGTTATTAATGTTGTATTCTGGGACGGTGAAGAGAAACAATCGCCGTCATCGTCGCATTCAGACAAAGAAGTCGAATTAGAAAAATTGAAACCCATATGAATGAAGGACGAAATTCACCCCTTCACGAGTAGAAGAGTTTTGAACAGAGAAAACCGACGATGGGAGATAGGATGGATGAATGAACAGGGAGGAAAACGACAATTTTCCGGAACTTGAAGCTTCGTGTGGACAATTTTCTGCGATAAGCATAAAAGAGAGGTGGAGAAAAGGAAGACTAGGCAGTGTGAATACGCTGGTAACCGGCAACTGAAAGAGCACATTGCGGCGAAGAAACAATCGCCTGAAGGAGAAAACCCAAGGTCCAACCACCTGCCACCACGTCATCAAAAGCAGAAGACAACTTGGAAGAAACCGTGACACGATTTGCCATTCCCCCTTTATATTATCTAGACTAGATATTGGGCCCAATTATACATTAGACCGGATTTGACAAATCCACAAATATATTTTTGTACTAGACACGGTGAAAACGGTGACCCGGATTGATTCTTCATATCATGCATAAGGGTGAAGTAGAAATCAAAACCATTCACTAAGCTATAATTCATTTCTTTTCTCGTTTTTTTTTTCAAGTTAAGGATTAAATTTAACGTCGAAAACAACAAATGTTTATTGTGATGACCGTTTGAGGCATTTTCTCTTCCACGCATTGGCTCAAAAAATGAGTTTTTAGTGTAAAAGCGTTTTAACTTTATATTCATCATTAGATGACAAGAATGATAATATTGTTTTTTTTCCAAATTCATACACGACTAATGAAGCAGCTTGACGCCTGTAGAAATATACTGGTCTTCCATGTTTTTCATTGAGAAGAAAACAACATGGCGTGTAATGCCGTAGGTGTAATTCCAAATCGTTCAAATGGATACGGTTGACTGTATATCACTAAAATCGAGTCTTCTTCATGGAATATTTTCCATTGTCTTTCCCACACCACATCTCACTGCGCACAAAGCGGACTCTTCTATTTTTAGTGTATTAGTTAAGTCATAAGTCATTGAGACCAACAATCAAACACCTAGCATGCATGTTTTTCAGATACAACTCTATGCGATTATTTATCACACCCATTTCATTCAACCTTCGAAAATCAAAACCAACAGAATAATTCAGGTAGATAAAAGGACAAATCAGATTGATAGGAGGAAATTATTGAACCAGCCTATGAATCGATGATTACCTTTGCACTTTGGGGGAAAAGAACATTCCACTTGGCATAAAGCATAAATCGGACGGGATTAATAGCGAAGGAGAAAATAAACGGGAAAAGGCAGCCGGATTTTTTAATAAGGAAAGAGAAGATAGAGGTGACAAACGCAACGGGAGACAGAACTATTTTCAGAGCACAAATTTTAATAGAAGATAGGAGAAATCCTGTAGGAACTTTGCCGGGAAAACCCAAATGAAGCCACGAAAGGGGAACCGGCAACCGAAAAGAGGAATAAAGGGAAACAAAGGTAGAAGAAAACAGAAGGCGGTCTCAACAAATCGGCAATTAACATGCGAACGGAGTGGGAGGGCAACGGCCAAGAAACCGTGCCAAAAAGGGACATTCCCTCTTTATATTAACTAGATATTTCTCTGGATTCCGGTTATTTTCTCAATAGTATTTCTAATTATTTAGCAAACATTTTTTATCTTTTATTTATTTACTTATTTTTGTAATTTTTCTTTTTGAGGGTGTAAAGATCCCTGGGAAAATGATTGGGTGGATTTTGGTGAAAGCAGTAATTAGTGTTAAAACTTACATCTTTTGGAAGCCAGTTGAGTTGCTCATGTAAAATGCGAAATCCTTCGTCCGAGATCGTGAACTATTCTAAATCCTGATGCTTAATCATTACTTTGTGGATGTCATACATTCACTCCTTCTCATAATTATTGCCCAGTTTGAATTTACACTTTTAGTTCAATTTGTACGAAATAAAAAAATCCAAAATGGACAATAATTATTGACAATAATTTTAGGAGAGAGAAAATAATGAATTAGATAATACAAGCTAGCTAGTGTTTTATTGTCAATACATATCTCACACCACTAGACAGTAGGTAATGCCATTCCATTGTAAAACAAGATTGAACTAACTCGGGAACAAGTTTGAAACTGAAAATTAGTATGTGTAACTTAACACTTTCATGAAACAAGTAGTGTGTGTTATCAAAGTACTATCTTGAAGAATCAAGAACATACAAAACTCAACTGCAGCGAGCTTGCTATCATCCTGATTTTTCATTGTCAAGCCATTTCATTGTTGGTAATAACTTACGCAGAAAATACTTGAACTTTTCGTCGAGAATCGGATTTCCGACAATATCTAGTTGGGTTAAGTTGGCGCCCTTGAAAATTGAAAAAGCATCCCAGTAAGTCGAAATATCTACATCACTGAGCCCTAACTGCTGGGTCTTCTTCCAATCACTTCCGATGGTGTGCGACAAAGGAGATGTGCATAAATACCTTCTCGTGTCAATGGGATGTGCTCCGATTTCGTTGTAAGAAATATCTAGCACTTGCAATGACTTCAGCTGTCTTAAAGGCTCTAGAGAGGAAAAACTGCTAAACTTGTTCTTACTGAGATTTAAGCAACAAAGAAGTTGCATCGCCTCCAATCCTGTACAACACAAGACGAGATAGATCATCAAGCATCGTAACTAAGGGTGTAAACGAGCCGAGTCGAGCCCGAGTTTTCCTATATTCAAACTCGACTCGAGCATTTTTATACTAAACTCGAGTTCGGCTCGAGCTTGATACAAAAATTGGGATCGAGCTCGGCTTGATCGATTTGTAACAAGCTCGAGCTCGACTCGTTAAACTCGAAATCTAAAAGCCTTAAAACAGAACCAAAAAGGCAACAATTTCGGAACATTAACAATCTTTCAATTCCGAGCAAAGTCAAAAGAAGAATTACTAGCCAACCAGAAGAGAAATCAAAGTAACTGTATCCATTAATCATAAAAAGGACCAAAAGAAATATATATATAAAAAAAAAGTGAATGTAGAAACGAGAAGGAATTCAGAAACGAGAGAAGAGGAATATAGAACAATTCCTTTAAATCTAGAAGGAATTCCTTCATGGGTTTGATTGCGGTGGAAAATGCCTTAATGGTTTTTGCCGATTCCACATTCTCATGGTGAATAAAATTCAAAAACCATGAGGTTTGTCCTCAACAAAAAAAAAGTTATGAAAATAATATCACAGTTGTGCTCTATTTGATTTGGTTCAAAACAAAAAACTAGAATGTGATGAACTGATGATGAAATCGGCTAGATTTGGATTGAAAAAATGAGATGGGTTTGCTGGTGAGAGATTGAGGAGAGAGGGAGAGGAGTAGTTCTGGGAAACAACGAAAGAGGACGAGAGAGAAATTAGAAGAAGAAAAGCTCCCTTAATAACTTAATAAATAGTATTAAAAAAATAAGAATGGACCACATGCAATAATTAGTTAACATATATATTGGTCGGCTAACATATATATCGGCTCGGTTGGCTCGACGAGCCACTCGAGCAAGCTTCATCCAGGATCGAGCTCGGCTCGTTTCAATAATTTAGCAGCTCGAACTCGACTCGAGCTCGGTCTACTTCGAGCTCGAGCGAGTTTTGACCGAGCCGGCTCGCGAAAACTTGCAAGCGGCTCGGCTTGTTTACAGCCCTAATCGTAACCAGAAAGTAGCACCGTAGACCAGATATTTTAACTTGTATACCTTCAATAGACCGAAGTTCGTTCTCACTGAGATCAAGCATTTGCACCCACAGCAGTCGTTCAATACACCCAATTCGTGACAATGAGAGACCATTCAGGCGTAGACTTGCAAAACTTCTATTCTGAGGTGAAGAGGAATCTCTGTATTGATAACAGTATCGTAGCAAGGACTCCTTGTCAGAAAGCTCCTGAGAAGCAAAGGAAAACCACATACTATTAGCTGCAGTTGAATGGGAAAATATTCATAACTAACCAAATGTTTTGTTTTTTTTTTTGGTGTTTTTTTGTTTTTTTTGTTTTTTTTTTTTCTGTTTAAAGCAAAGAATGCCTGAACTTAGAAGTAGCATCATAAAGAAGAAGCAGATTAGAAGTTCCTATATCTGATGAAGAAACTGGCTTCTTCAATATCCAGATATCAGTGAACTTGAAAAACCTACAGGCATCATGTTACCAGTTTGGATGGTCTAGAGATCCGTAATCCTGAGCACTAGTACTTAGGTGGATTACTTGTTACTACTTTCAATGTATATGATTAGTGAATAAAACATGTTATTGTTTATGAAGACGGTTCAGTATCAAGATCAAAACTGAACACTGAGGCAAGGACCTTGATAAGAATCTATTCAGTATTTCAGTGAGACGAAACTCAGTAGTAATTGCATAGCTCACACACTGTCAAATAGATTGAAAAATTCAGCATTCAGCTATCTACCTAACTTTCAGCAGTCAGATTAAAAATCAAATGTTCTACAATCAGCACTAAGCTATTCAATAAATCAGCATATAGATTGAAGCCAATGCAAAAATTAATTTTCACCAACCAGACCCCAAGTCTCTGTTAACTTCCCTTTGTCATTAACAAAGGACCTAAGGTCTAAGGAAATAATGTTTGTACTTCTATTCATCCTCCCTTGGAGCCAATGAATTTATCATGTCTTGATCGATGGCTCGCAACAGGAAGGACATATCAAACCTAGATTTCTTAAGGATCCCTAGTAGTGATCCTACATGGAAGCACAAATGACCATATTGAAACATGTTTCAGTCAGCTTCCTTTTTTTTTCTTTGCTAACCAGTAGGCTTCTTATCAAACCACAATGTTGCACTGTTCAACTTAGCTTATCAAGAATGACCAGATACAAGCCTAAACACAGAAACTCCAAAATTTGGGCTAGAATAATAGTTATGCATAATATCTTTAAATTAGAAGCAAATCAATGAGTAACCTTCTCCAACAACCCCCAACCCAAAAAAAAAAAATGAAAATGAAAAAAACCACCACCAACAAGTGGATAAGAAATGAATCCATACTATGTTTAACATAACAAACATCATAGCATGCAAAGTGTCACCTGTTTAAGAAAGACCAAACTATACTCATCCTTGTAATAATGAATATGTGGTGGGTCCATCTTCATAAGATCACTGTATAGTTCTAGAATTTCTTTGTAAGGTAATGTACGTTGATCATATGTATCATGAGAAGTAGACGACAAAGCATCATGCGCCATCAACAATCTTGCAAGTGTGAGCTTTCCTATTTTACTGTGACAAAGATGAAAAGTACAAGAAGAGAATTAATAAATTATGGCTCCTATCAAGCTTACATTAAAATTTTAAAATCACAAGAAAAATCAAAGCCGTACCACTCCATCTCAGCCAACAGTTCACGGAAATAAGATATCTCCTCAGCAATTATATCAACATTCATGTCATTCTTTTCCAGTTTGTCACTCCCATTTGTTCTTAGCTGGCAAAATCTATTCACGAAGTCCAACTCCTCAGAATGCAATTCAGTTGCATGGAAATTTTCACCCGACCAATAAATCCTCTGTGTTTCCAGGCCTTCCCTAAGTTTTGGTACAGGAGATGATACAAAAACTCCAAATTCAATATGAAAAGGACGACTATAGCAAACACCGGATGAGGAAACAATACCCTCGGAAAGGGCAATGCTAACCTTCCCTCGGTAATGTCTAGAAGGAAGCATGTCCTTCATGGAAAAATTTAGACATGTAAACCATGTCGTGGAGTACCCAGATCTATTTGCAGGAACCGGTATCCAAACCAAATTGGTATCAGAAGTAAATTCGCATTCAACAGTCACGGTGCTGGAATTTACACCAACAACACCTTCATTAAAATAAAGGATAATAGGAAAGCCCTCGAAACCAGACGCTGAACCTGGCGGAAAAGCATACTGGTTTAATACCAAAGGGTCTGATGCACAAATATTTGATCCATTGGGTGGCCATGAGGAAACAAACAAATTGTCCACTTTAACTGTCTGATCCAAAAGCCAAAGATGATAGAACCAGCCACTTTGATCATCTGGATCTGTGAAAAGAGCATTCCGAACAAATTCATACTCCTCCTTCAAAAAAGTCTCTTTGGGATAAAATCCAGCCACTTTCTTGTTTAGCAGAAGAGACAGAAGCATGCTGCAGATAGCTCTTGTCTCAGACAATATAGACAGAATAACATATAGGGAAAAGCAGAGAGGAACACCAAACACATTAACCGAGAAAGAAAAAGAAAATAATGAAGTGTCAACATATAACAAAACACACAAACATAGGGATGAAACCAATTAAAGTAATTTTAGTCACTGCTCCAAGCATTAACACCAAAATAAGCACACTTGAAACAAATATCGACAACATACCTACGATTATGCCAAGCAGAATAATTGCTGAAATTGTCATTTATCATGTCTGTCGTATAATTTAGTTCCTTCTCAGCTGGTATGTTCATCAATGCTGTTATGAATCTAAAAGCAGATTTTAGAGTATCACAGGTCACTTTAAGGGAAAAGAATCAACTGGAGAATGGAACTAAATAAAGCAGCATTTATGTCTTCACCTACGGTAGTTCCACGCATGGAAATTGCGAGCATCAGCCTTCTGAAACTTTTTCAGAAGCAACAATTCACGATCTGCTGAAGAATGACCCTTGTTAAGCACCCATTTCCGATGATGCCAAGCTCCATAAGACTTGAAGTTACTTCTTAATGCATTCTCCACCTATAACAAAATGCAACATGAAGTAAATACATACTTGAAACCAGTAGGCAAGGCAAGCCAAAATAAACGGTTGAACCACAATTGGTCCAATCTCATCAGGGCAAAGAAAAAAACAAAATCAGTTTCGCACTGCATAATCAAAGTTCACCAATGATTGATGAGGCAGAAATTCAAGTAGTAACAAAGTTCGTTCATTTTCATTTCTACATTAGTCTTTAATGAATTATACTATCCAGACTAAGCAAAATGGACTGAACTGAAACTAGAGAGTTCAATCGAGAGAACCTACAAGATTAAATAAAGCTAAAAGCTCTTGCAAAACCTGAAGTTAAAAAAAAAAAAAAAAGGTTACATTCTCTGTCCAAATATCTGATCAAATCATTGAAGTGATAGCATACAATTCGCATTACCTAATCCCCCGTTGTTTCTTTCTACCATACATTTGGCAAATGGAAAAACAGAAACAAGAAGACAAAAATAAGCAACTACCAGGTTCAACACAAGAAAAGAACGAAACATAAAAAGAACCCCGAATATGGCATCGCTCGTGTAAATGGTTAAATTGTCAACTGCGAGTGCTTGGACTTACCACACGTAGTTCTTCATCTAAAACGGATTTAATATATTCTGAATCAGTTTGATCCGTTAGCAAGTGTTCAACAGCGAGCTTTCTGTAGTTCCAAGCCGTATAGTACTCTGGATTCAACTCCACTAGCTTCGTACTGACATCGATTGCCTCTTTCGTATACCTACAAATCAACGAGAGATTTGTAAAACCCCCATACCCATCGTCATCAAACGAAGATACAATTTATTTAAATTTTTTCATTTTTCATTCACCGAGTAAGGATTTACGTTTTGCTGTGGTGAAATTCAATAAACTGCTTCTGGAGGGCGCGGAGTTTGGCTCCTTTAGCGGCTGAATCTTCGTTCTCCTCAGGAGTTGGAGATCTCCGTGGCCGTCCGTGCATCTTTTACAATCGGTGAAGACGGCGGTGGGGGCTACGGTGGTTGCCGCCGAGATCAGAAGTAGACAGCGGCTCAGTATTTCTTCTAATTTGTTGAACTAATTAAAATAAGTGTTAAGTGGTTTTTTGGGTCATTCATAACTCACAGTTTGACTCTCAACTCTGGCTGGTCAAAGGGGTTTTTGATAGTTATAGTAAATTTAAGGGTGTTATTTTTATACCGAGCCAAACCTTGGGGGCTTTGGATATTCGACTTGTGAGTTGTAATATCAATCAGATTATGGCCTAATCACCATCGTAAAACTTTCTTACTTTCCTTTTTTTTTTTTTTTTTGGTAACACCCGAATACCTGTTTGTTGTAAATCGAAAGGGTTGTATTGTTAATCTTTTTCTCTATAAATAGGTTCAAGGTGACCGATTCATAACATTGTTCTGTGTCGTTCCTTCTTATTTCTTTCTTTCTTTCTTTGTTGGTAGCCTGAAATTGTTTGGCTTCGCCTAAGTTTGTGAATAATTAAAAAGAATATGAATTCCTCCTATTCTATTACCGGGGCCGGAAAAACTCCACCGACGAGCCTATATTCCACTGCGAAGGCTTCATCAAAAGATGATTATTCTCGGCCGACAACAACAAATTATAACCAAAATTCTAAAAGTAGTACGTGTGAGAATATTGGATTGGGGCTTTGTTTCTTATTGTGTGTATTGGGGTATTGTGCATTGGCTTTGGACTTGCAATGGATTACTTTTCTCCCGGCTACTCTCCCGACATTACAATCGATTCCATGTTAGTATCTCCTCTGGACTTGAACTTATCCACTTCTCAGATTTCAGCAACGTGGACCGTAGGACTCGAGTCCGAGAATCCCAATTATACGAATCTTGAGGCAAGATGATGGATTTACCTCAAACGCGGAAGCTTTCCTCGATAACTTGCCTAACCAATGGAGAAGACTCCAAAAATGTGAAGGAAGAAAAAGGAACAATGCAAACCACAAAAATTTGCACAAAAAGGGATGGAAAGGTAAGAAGATGAAAGAATGTGTTTTTGGCTAGCAACCCGATTAGAATACTCTCTAACAACCCCACCCCTTCGATTTACGAGCAGAACGGCTAGCTACAAGGCTCCAAAGAACGGCTAACAAAGCTCTACACGTGAATAACACTTAAAATCACGTGCACGCTTGCAACAAAGCACAAAAATAATTGTGCAATGCACTATTCTTCACAAAGAATATAAGAACATAGAGTTTCCTCTCTTTTCGTATTGAGAAATCAATTATAATCAAAACATATGTATTTTGGTTGACCAGTCCCCCTTTATATAGGCATAGGTTGGCTTGGATTAAAAAAACCCGAATACAAGTTCAAATCGGATTTGTCTACCTAAGTTTTCTAATATATATTTAAATAATGATTAAATAAATAATTGCACATGTCACAATTATGTAAAACCATCTAGAATCTTCTAGAGGTGAAGGAGAGTCGGTCATGAGCTTTAAATTACTGAAAAATCCTTTTCTAAATCGAGATAGGAAGTTTAGGAAAATTGGCACCGCGTGACGTCGACTTTTCTGTCGACCGACAGTCTACTCGACGCTCCCCTGTCATCTTTGTTGTCGACTTCTTTTCCTCGACCAAGAGCTCGACGTACACTAAAAGCTTCAATTCCACTCCAAGATAAGCACGAACCCCATGAAATTGAATCCACATTGAGAGATTGAACATCCATAAACAAGTTGTTGAGAGATTCATTCATTCTCTTCCTTCGAGACCTTGTCATAGGACCTCCAATATTAGCTAATGGATCTTGAATCACTCTGTAAGCTCGAACTTGATTGCTTGGTTGAACATTGACTTGTCCTTGAGTTTGATCACCTAGGATGTCCACATCATTCTTTTTTAAGCAGATAACTCTGACTGTATTTGTACCACATAATTTACAGTTGTCTATAAATTACTCGTATGAAAGAAAAAGAATTACTCATAAGAGATGAATAGATTGTAAAGTACTCCATCCAATTCTAATTATACGCAACACAAATTAACACTAAACTTAATTCAAATATGTGTCTCATAATTAAGATATGAGGGAGTAAATGTTATAGGACTCCAAAATTTATTGAATTATAAAATTTTAAGCCAGCATAAGTGCAACTGCAGTGTCGCGTAGCTAGCATTGAAAGTTGGGCCAATTACCCTCACTTTTACTCCTCACCATTGTGGAAAGTTTTGTGCGTACCTCGGCGTGTTACGCCACTTTTCTGAAAAAATGTGGGTTAGATGTGAACCGGTTGACACAAATATGTCTAATGGTAACTCCTGATCGTATCACATAAATTTTACTGAAATGAGTAGTAGTACTGTGGTTGCTCTAAGAGAATAGTAAAAAGTCATTATCATTTTTTTCCCTAGGGGCTTGACCTGGCGGATACGTTAGGGGTGATAAATCACAATTGTTATCATTTAAAAAAACCAGAGAATGGACACAAATATTTTGAAATATTTACATAAGCGGCAACTCTTTCACCGATAACAGCTGAGCTGATACAGTAGGATTTGACAGCACTCCGTTCAGACCAACCCAAATAAATCTTAATCCATTAGCAGCTGCCATTTTAATAATGATCTGCAATATTAAGAGTAGTCAGAGTAGTCTGAGTAGATGTCATTTATGTTATGAAGTAAAGAAGTTGAGGCAGGAAAAACAACTCAACAACAAAATTCAGCCTGAAGTGAATGCAACCAAAAAATAAAATAAAATTGAGAACTTGCAACAAAAGTACACAGGCATCTTTGCAAGCAAAAAGTTCAGACAAGCTCTGGAAAACATACAATGTTCAAGAGTGAGGTAAAGTGCATAGGTGCCAGTTTTTTCGCCCAGCATTGTACTTATAATATACAATACATATTTGAAACAGAAAATTAAGAGGCCGAACAATTAGGGAATGAAAAAGTATAGGGTAAATCATCCAAACCCTTTTGAATTATGTCTGCAGGTATGTGACATATATGAAAAATAAGAGAACTAAAAGCGAGGGCAAATGACTAGAAAAAGCTATCCTAAATTCCTGATTGTCCTAGTCAACAAGTCAAATGCCAAACAATATTCTTAATATACACCTGAATTGCATCATTTGAAAAGTAGCGGCCATTAGCAGAAACAAGTGTAGCACCTGCAAGATGAGTTTCATTGAAATAAAGAAGAGGATTACTGGATAGAACCATGTATGCAAGTCCCAAACATAAAAATTCACAACTGCACAAATTTAGTTTCAAAAAAAGAAAAAAAGAAAACTGCTCAATACCTTAAACTAGAGCAGCCATAGAGGCATATTATATATAGAATTACAAAAATGATCAATAATCCAAATTTAAAAGATGAACTTACCCCTCACTTTATCATCTCCGAGGGCATAGAATGTCGATTGGACAAATTTATGCAAGTAATGGGTTGGGTTAAGACCTTCACCTGAAATAGCAAACAGAAAATGTCATTGTTCAATCATAAAATCCGTTCACCTCAAATCATATAGTGGTTCCTTGAATTTTGCCCTTGCTGTCATTCTGAAACGTACCTTCAACTTTCCTAAGCTATCCAGCAACTTGCAGGAGATCTAGTGGAAGAACACCTTGCTCTTGTAAAACTCTAACGTCACCCTAATCTTCGGCCTCTGCTAGAAAAAACCGCCATTCCTAATTGAGCTATTGCTTCTGTTCTTGCCGGCACCGCCCTCCACGGTGGTGGATACTGGCTGAGTCGGCGGCGATGGGGGTAAGAAGTAATGGTTGTAGTTGTGATTTTGATTCCACCATCAGATTGTCCCATTGAGTGCGTGAGTGTGTGCGAGAGGAAGTAATGATTTTGGGCGGAAATATTGACAGGAAATAATGGAATCACCGATTGATTAAATTTTACCTTTTTAGGCCAAATTCATTCCACATCAAAAAGGCATAAACACACTAAATCCCTAAATTTTCTTCACTCTAAAAGACCTAAATTTTCTTTACTAATTAATAGGATTTAAAATGGGGAAAAAATACTACATAATCAAAAACATCAAGCTCAAAAGAGAAAATTTCAAAGGAATAAGAGATTTTTACTGCTTGGAGAAATTGGAGTCGGTGACGGTGATCTTAATCTTGTTGTGGACGACGGTGACGAAATTGCCGAGAGCTTTGATGCATTCTTGGAAGTACTTCTCCAGGGAGGAAAATGTCCATGATCTCTGAGGGAGTTACAATTAGTTATTGGGGTGGGTAAAAGCCGTAGGGTGATTGTCTTTTTTACTTTTTTTTTTAAAAAAATAATTATTCTTTTACAAGTGCCTTTTTAAGTGTGTCATCAAAACTTTAGAACAATTAAAAAAAAATTAAAATGCCTTCTTTGACCATCTATTATGATATTTTATAGTTAATGCCATCATATATCAATTCTATTAAGGCATTTTCTTAATTATGCCATAATATCTATGTCATAATATGGGTTTTTTTTTGTAGTGCACAATTCTAGAAATTAAAGACATCTCAAAATTACACTAGGTTTTTGGATTATTATATTGTGAACAACTACAACAATCAGATGTTTCAAAGATACCAAGAGTATTCCATTTCAAAACTACAATTGTTTTCACCAAATCACGAACATCAATAAATGCAGATATATACGTTTTAAAGAAGAATTGAGAGTATAAAGTCAAACAATCCCCCCTCCCCTCCAAAATTCATCACCTTATATTATATTTTCAAGTTGAACCCCTGATGCTTTCTAAGGGAGATCTCAATCGAGGAGGAAACAACAAGTTATGATTGAGGAAAGCTAGAATTCTCAATTGAGAAGGCTAACGACAACGTTAATTTCATGCTATGACGACGGCGGCTGTGTTTTCAAGGAAAGAATTTAAGGAATGGTAAAAGATGAAATTATAGGATACTCATCTACAAATTTGTAACGTGTTAAGTTTTTCAACAACTGGTTGGAGATGTTATGGTGGAAAGAGAAAAAACCGTCAATTAGAAGAAGAGAAATAGTGATTACTGAGGAGAAGGTTTTGGCCTTTCCCCTTTCACACAATTAAAATGAAGTCACCAAATTTTTCCCTGAGATGTGACGAAATTCAGTTTTATCTAACATACATAGATAAAG